TTTCTGTGACGGCTGGTTTTCTCTTCTGTGACTGCTGGTTTTCTCTTTTGTGACGGCTGGTTTTCTTTTCTGTGACTGCTGGTTTTCTCTTTTGTGATGGCTGGTTTTCTTTTCTGTGACTGCTGGTTTTCTCTTCTGTGACGGCTGGTTTCGAGATTTCTCTCCTACAGGTTTACCTTGACCTCCTTCCCTCAGTCCCCCCCCCCCTTTTTGAGTATCCATTATAACTTATTCTGTAGATTAGGAGAGATCCACCTACCTCTGCCTCCCGAGTGCTGGGATTAAAGGTGTGTGTCACCACACTGGGCCATTACCTGAGTTCTTTTTGAGCTTATGAGATTTTATTTTTTAGTGTGTGTGTGTGTGTCTGTCTGTCTGTCTGTCTGTAATCATTCTGTTGTGGTCTGGTTTCACCTCAGGTTAGAATGCATAGAGGGCCATAGTGTACAGCATCAGAAGTGGTCCTCAGAATAAGCTCTCCATGGGGTACATTTGCAAGACTCCCAGACTTCAGTAGGTGGCCCAAGGGTGTGTGTCTCAAAGTAGACTTAAGTCAATGAAAAAACAAAAACAAAAAAAAACCAACCCAGCTCTCTTGAATTGTGTTGGGAGGGAAACAAGTTTTCACATGTTTTATGAGACACAACCAAGCGTTTAATTCCATTTTATACTCGCAGGTGTCTAATTATTGGCTTTAGACAAATCCTCAGAGAAATAACAGAAGAAAAAGAAAAGGCCAATTTAAAGTCTCCTGAAATGATCCTCAGCCTCTGACATTTTCCAGGCTGGCCTGCTTCACTTTAATATCTGAAGTGTTTTGTGAATGCCGGCCAGGAGGAGTGGCTTTGGCACGGCTCTCTTGTTTTTTCCTGATTTAGTCGTTCAGTCTGTATAGCATTGCATCCCGGCTGTTTGAAATCCCTGCTGCATTTGGAGAAGTAATGTCTTGGCATCTGGCCTACTTCCCTAGAACACAATGTGCCACTGTCGACATAGGCCAGGCATTCCATTTGACAATATGCTTGTCAGTGGTAAGCAAGACTAGAGTGGAAAGCCGGGCTTGCCATCATTTGCTGTGTTTCCTGCTTGAGCACATTACTTTTACTATGTCACTTGGGAATAACTTGACCAGATTAGCATGTGGTTAGCCAATAGCAACTGGAAGGACTCTCCACGTGATACTTTGTTGCCTTATTAGGAAATGTGTCTGGATAGACCTGCCCAGTGCTTGCTGCCTCTGTTCCTTCGTGTTCCTGTGTTCTGATTCATGAGTCGAGATGAGCGCAGACTGTGTGGGCAACTCCACTTGCCCTGCCAACAGAACTGAGGAAGACCCGCCTGTGGGAATGGAGGGACACGGGAACCTGAAGCTTGTTTTCACAGTGCTGTCGGCTGTGATGGTGGGTCTGGTCATGTTCTCTTTTGGATGTTCGGTGGAGAGTCAGAAGCTCTGGTTGCACCTCAGAAGACCCTGGGGCATCGCAGTGGGCCTGCTTTGCCAGTTTGGGCTTATGCCTCTGACAGCTTATCTGTTAGCCATTGGCTTTGGTCTGAAACCATTCCAAGCCATTGCTGTCCTCATCATGGGAAGCTGTCCTGGGGGCACCATCTCCAATGTTCTCACCTTCTGGGTTGATGGAGATATGGATCTCAGGTAAGTCACACTAGGGAATCTCTGCAGAGTTTCCCTGCCTGGAACTGGGGACACGGTTGTGCTTAAAGAAAAAATTTAAGCAATCTCTGGGTAGCTCTGAGTGGGAAGTACTGCAAACATCACCGAGCCTTGGACAGACTCTCTGAGCCTTGAGCTTGCTCTGTTGTGATTAGCTTCTGCTTTTGTGGCAGCTTTTTCTATCCTGAGCAAGCATTTGGTTCATATGCAGTAAGGGCCTCTCCTAAGCATAGACTTGTCCCATGTCTGTTGGCATCTCTAGCATTTCCCAGGACATCACCAATAATCCCACACAGCTAATGATAGTGATGGTGGTGGCATCAAGAGATACAATCAAAACAGAACCCACTTGGCTCTTTTCTATTTCTTTTGGTCTCCTTTTGTCCATTTTGCTCTCAGCAGTGTTTCCAGAATATCCTTGTTGTGAAGCAACATTTTAGGTGAGTGTGCGAAGGACTTTGGGGTGCCTGATAGACTTTACTGATTTGATTTAGGGAGCACTCGAAGCTTCCAGAATGATAAATACCTTGTTGTCTTTGCCTTTGTTTAAGCCAGAGTTTATTCCTACTATGGGGTAGATAAATACTCCAGGAGAAATTGAACTTTATCATTTACTCACACTTTAGCAAGGGCAAATGAATCCCAATTTTGAAGTCAAATATTTTGATGAGAAATAGAAAAGCCTTTGAAGATAGACTGGATGAGTTAGTATTGGGAAGAGGGATAGAGAGTTAAAAACAATGCTCTTTCTAGATTCTTTGCTTATAAGTGCCCTTATATCCTGCCTAGAGAAAATACACCATATAAATTTAAATCTTTGCACGAACACACCATTTGGGATTTATTCTAGAATGAATGAATAAATGAATGAAGTCAGAAGTAATGACTGAAATGGGAGTTGATTTCAATGAGTCAACTTCAGGTCTGGTTTCTAGTTCTCTTGCACATACTGAATATTTAGTGTATTGAACAGATTTCCCATACATATTTTAATAGGTGCATACCACACAGACAGGTAATTAAGTCTTGTACGGTAATGACTCTTAGTCACTCACTTACAGGAGACTTGCAAGGAAATTCTTGATCATCTTGTATCTCCACTCATATGCCCCTACTTGAAGTTCAGTCAAGTTGTCCATCAACACTTACATGACAGTGATGAAGTCCAGGTCGTGAGGATTTCTAGAAAGAAAAGAAACTAGTGTTCAGAGGTACCGAGGAGGTCTGGGCTTCATCTTCTCTCCTGGATTCTCATGGTCACCTTGTAAGGGACCTTTCATTATTCTGAGAAGATGATTTGACTTAGTTCAGTAGCTGAGCAATAGCTGCACAGAGCAGAGCAGACAGAGCTCAGGCTGGAATCCACGGCTGCTTTCTATCAGTTTGTAACTTAGTTTCCCCATGACATTTGGCAACACAACTGTATCATCTGGAAGAAGAAGAAGTCTTTAGCAGTGTTTTGAAATACTTCTGGGTAAGAGAATATTTATCATCATCACCCATGGTTCATCAGCATTGCCAAAGAAAAACCAATGAACAGAAAGGATGTGGAAGCTAACGGTCCTGTTGTTTATTGTTACCACCACTGTCACTTTTGTTTATTTTGCTTTTGTTTTATTGAGACAAGGTCTCACATAGCCCAGTGGGGCTTTGAAATCCTGCTCCGTTTACCTCCAGTTCCCTAGTGCTGGTATTACAAGTGTGTACCATTATGTCTGGCTCCAACTTCGTCCTCAGTTGGCTTGTTGTGCTTCTTTTGTTTTGTTTTGAGACAGGGTTTCTTTGTGTAGCCCTGAATGTCCTAAAACTCATTTTGTAGACCAGACTGGCCTTGACTTCAGAGATACTCCTGCCTCTGCCTCCTGAGTGCTTGAATCAAAGACATGAGTCACCACTGCCTGGCTCCAGAGGTGAAAGTTTAGAGTGTGTACTAAAAATTAGATTTGAAAAGCTTATGGATATAACATCAATTAATGCTTAAATCTCAGGAAAAGTACCAACTAGAATACTCTGTCTTCATGAGTGAAGCTATGTCCATACTACACAATTATCCATCCTTCACAATTATCACCTACAAAAATCACAGTGCTTAAAGCTCAGTGGCTGGTCTTGGATGGACACTCTGTCCACAGTGCTGGATAAGAAACTGAGGCAAAGCTCTTAGAGATGACCCTGGGTATAGTTCAGTTGCCTTATTCATTCTGTGGGGGTGGGGGTCATGCACCCATCTTAAGCAGGTGTTTCAGACTTGAGTGGTGTCTAAGCACTGCACATGACAATGCCCCAGTGCTTTCCCAGTGTCCTGCACTCCTCACTGTAGTTTTCTCCTGCTACCCAGCCCTCTCTGGCTTCCCGTCATCCATCCCTCTGCTGCTTCCTTGGGTCATGCCCTAGTGCATCTTTTCATGGCTAATCGCTGTGTCTTCCAGTGTTCTCTCCATAGTCAGTCTTTCTGTTGTTGTTTTATTGTAAATAGATAAAGCAGATTCTAACTGTGTGCCTTTTTTCTTTTCTTTTCTTTTCTTTTCTTTTCTTTTCTTTTCTTTTCCTTTTTGTACAGTGAACTTTATTGATGATGTTTGGATTTGGGAAAGTAGCTCCTCCCCTTCTTCGGGGATCTGGGATGGAAACCAGGAGGGGTGATGCTCAGGGTACTCAGGGCTGAATTGGGGCAGTGACTTTCTCTTCCTTTCCTGCTCTCACTGGGGATGGGTTGCTCAGGGATTCTTACTGCTTGGAGGTCATGAGGACTCTGAGGTGTGTCACCTAGTTGCTGTTGCCAAATTCCTTGCTATACCAGGAAATGAATTGGCAAAGTGGTTGTTGAGGGCAAAGTTGTCACGGATGACTTTTTGGTTAGGGGCCTGCCCACTCGGTGACACAGGACACGCTGCTGATAACCTTGAGTGTCATCACAAAGATGAGGACCCCATTAACCAAAGGGGCAGAGATGAGGACCCTTTCGGCTCTACCTGCCAAGGGGGGCCAGCCTTCTCCATGACTGTGAAGACAACGGTATATTCCACAGCATACATCATCAGCCTTGCTCCATTTGCTGTTGGAGGGTCCTAGTGAAATGGGAGAGATTTAGAAAAAGGCGCCCAGTCTGGCTTGTTCCCCGGCAGCTGCCATGTTCCTGCTGTTCTCGCTCTGACCTCGGCTCCAGCTAACTAGAAGCGCCAACCCTGGCACTCACGAGACGTTACAGTGGCCGCTGGCTCTGCCAGTCCAACCACACCACCCCCACAAAGCTTGGCTGAATCCCAGATAATATCAGCCATGCTCGTGGTACCCAGTAGAATGAAGACTCTTAAAACTTAAAGATCAACCAATAGATTTATATATTTGGAAATACTCAATTAACAAGATGCCCACACAATTAGAATTGTTACTCATTATCTAACCTTTAGATATAAATTGTTACCTAAGACTGCTTCCGACCCATCAGTCTTCCCCCATGGTTGCTAGCCCTCCTCCTCCTTCCCACTCTTAGCTCCACCCATATCTTCTACTGCCCAATCACAGAGCTTTACTGCAAATACATTGTAGCAGGAAATCATTCTGCAACACCTAGAAGACTAAGGTGGCCTTCCCATTGATGACAGGGTTCCTGTTCTCAGCCTTGACTGTGTCGTGTCGCGGCCCTTGCTGTGTGTGGAATCCTACCGAAACATGTAGACCCTGTAGTTGAGGTCAAGGAAGGGATCCCTGATGGTAACAATATCAACTTTGCCAGGGTTGAAGACAGCCCTGGTGACTAGGGGCCCAATATGACCAAATCAATTCCCTCTGACTGTAATGTGTAGTTTTTGCTACGACACTTAAGCTCTGGGTGGACCATGCTATCAGCCCCGCCCATGTTCCCTGCAGGTCCGTGGTTGACCGGTCGGCCCAGAGATTAAAACAGGGTAGGAAAAACTCCACGTTACCACATTGTGTCTTTGTCGAGCCTGGCACTACACGAGATTGGCCTGTCCTTGAAGACAGGAGGAGCAGAGAGTCTGGCCTCCAGTCTTGTAAGTGGAGATTATAATACTTCCATCATGGTATTGTGTCATACACACGCGGGAGCCTAGCACTTACTGGATTAATCGGTTTGCCCCAGCTTTCCACGTTTACTTTCCACAAACTCCTCAGAGGCAAGAGGCCTCCAGTCAAAATGAATTACTCACTGTTCACTAAACACATCCTGGTTTTCTTACTCCTATTGGCCCATGTTCTTCAAATACTCCTCAGTGTCAGCTGGCATGATCTATCTGCTTCTGTCATGGCATGATTCTCCCTAATCGTTCTAGAAAGAAAGTGGCTGATATATACCAAAAGCTTAGACATCCTGTACCAGGGCCCAGATACAAACAGTAAGGATCAGTTCTGATTCAGGGGTCCAGAAAGCTGATTGGCTCTTCCACAGCTGGACTAGAAAGTTACATTGCAGCAGACATGGATAAGGAATTGCAACATTTTCTGCAGTGTTCTCAATTTGAGATTAAGAGAGTCTTGCTTTTGAGGGGAGAACTTGAGAATTACTAACTGACAGTGCAGTGCCCAGGTAAGGTCACTATTCAGGGTTTAGTAACTGGATGCTGACTGGCACAGCCATCTGGGCATGTTATGCAAATTTCCTATTTATTGTGTATGTGTGTGTGTGTGTGCATGTGTGTGTGTATGTGTTCTGCTTTGCCTGTCCTCTCCTCAGTAGCCATCGAACTGTTTCTTCCTTTGGTTTCTTGTTTTGTGACAAGGTTTCCCTATGTAGTCCTAGCTCATCTGACTCCTCTTGCCTCTGTTTTCTGGAGTATTGGGATTACTAGCGTGTGCCACCTCTTGACTACTGTAAATAGTGTGGCATGAAATGGGTATACAGTTGTGTGCTTGCTTTCAGCGTTCCAGCTTGGATGTGTACTCAAGAATAGATCTGAGCAGCTGTTTTGTGAGCACCAAAGGAACCAAGTGAGAAATGAATTAGAAAGCCCAAGACTCTCCTTCCCCTTCCCTACATTGTGAGATCATCTGAGTGTGTAGACCAGGCTGCCCTAAATTCACTGTGTAGACTAGGCTGGCCTCGAGCTCTTAAAGTTCTGCTTGCCTCTACTTCCAGAGTGCCGTATCCTAATTTTAATATTTCATGTGAATGATGAAATATTTTGGTCTCCTGGTGGAAAATCTTGCCCCTGTGTGATCGCCAGCCTCATTTATCAGGTGTGCCAATTGCTTGAGGCTTTGTGTGTACATGCACACTCAGTGTCAGCCTGGTGGTGTCAGGGGCTTGCTAGTTGAGTGACTGACAGAGAGATAGTGTCTCTTGTCAGTGTTACTACAGTAACTAACCCCAGAATGAAAGCTGTTTATTAACGCAACTCAGGACAGCTCACACTGCCTGTTGATATCTCTGGGGAGGGAATCTATTGAGGATGTATGTGTCCCCTCAGTTACAGGATTCCAGACATGAGTTGGGTGTCTGTGTGGTTCAGTGGCCAACGATGACCCATGAAGCTCTCTTGAGCTTCCTTCCATTTTTATCTTTATTTATTTTGAGACAGATCTCTTGCAGCCCAGGATGGGGTCAACCTTGAAACAGCAAAGGATGATCTTGTCCCTCTGAGTCTCCTGTCTTGCCCTCCCAAGTTCCATGATTACAGGAGTGCATTGCTTGCCTGATTTTCTCCTCTGAACTGAACTCCTTGGTCCTTGGCAGATCTGAGAAATTGATTCTTTAGGTCTGGCCTGGCCTTTAGTTTTGGAAAGAGTACCAAGATTGAACCTGTGTTAGTTACTTTAAAACAAAACAAAAACAAACTATGACAAAATACCGACAGAAGTAATGTAAGGGAGAAAAGATTTATTTCAGCTCAGAGTGTTAGAAATTGCAGTCTTTTATTGCAGGGAAGACAGCAGGAAGAAGGTGCAGACCAGAAAACCTAGACAAGGGTGGGAATCAGAGATGTGTATAGCATTTTCACAGGCTTCCTCTATTAACTTACCTCTCTCTGCCCCACCCCTAGGCTTTCTTTTCTAAGACAGAAGCATATAGTCCATGCTGGCCTAGAACTTGCTATGTAGCTGAAGATGACCTTAAACTTCTGACCTTCCCTTCTCCACTTCCCAAGTGCTGAGATTACAGGCTGTGAAACCATGCCTATTTTCATTCAGAACTGGGGATCAAACCCAGGGCTTCTTGCATGCTAGGTGGACGCTGTACTGACTGAGCTACACCCCAGCTCAGACCTCTATCCCAAAGGCTCCACAGAATTTAACTTAGTGGCACAAACTGGAGACTGATTGTTCAAAACATGAACCTGTAGGGAGACATTTCAGATTCAAGTAATATCTTAATGCCCTTGTTATCAAGATAGAGATACCATCTACACAGTTGCTATAAAAGTGATAAGAAAAAAAAAGAATTCTTTAAGCATTTGAGGCACAAAATGGCTGGGCAGTGGTGGCACATGCCTTTAATCACAGAACTTGGGAGGCAGAGGCAGGCGGATTTCTGAGTTCGAGGCCAGCCTGGTCTACAGAATGAGTTCCAGGATAGCCAGGGCTACACAGAGAAACCCTGTCTCGAAAAACAAAATAAATAAATAAATAAATAGGCACAAAATGTGGCCAGCAGTACCCAGCACTCAATAAATCTCAATAAATGCCCACTGTCCTTACTGGAGGCAGCAAGGGAAACATCTCTGTATAGGAGTGGAGAATCAGACTGCAAACTCTGTCCTGGGATGGTTTCTATGGATGTGATCTTACAGCAAACTGGTGCCCATTTGGCTAGCCAGATCATTTCTCCTTTTATGGAGAAACAGTTTAGTTTGGAGAATTGGAGGTTCTTGATTTTATGGGCTTAAAAACAAAATAACATTTGAATAACTTAAGCCCCAATTGCAGAATGCTATTGGCTGCCTTCTAGTGGAATGCATGTCTCTGCCTTGCTATGAGGGAGCCCAGGATTTACCTGTTTGCCCAGTCTTGTTGAACCTGTCTCCCGCTCTGCAATAGCTGTGGATGGTACTATTCTTCTTTGTTCAAGTGGAATCTTGTTCTGTTGAAGCCAGATAATGCTGGTGGTTTCCCATGTGAACAGTGGAGTGATCCAGCTAGCCACATCCTCTGTTGATGTCACATTGGAATTTCTTTGCAGGCACTGGGGTTGTGTGACTTCCCTTTACAGTTTCTGTGCTTCTCCAGTGTGGTTGCTGTTTACAGCAGCTGTAGATCAGCAGATCTCTTGTCCTCTGCCACCATCGTTCAATGCATTATGGGATTGGCTGATTCTGCGGAGGCTGGGGACAGCAGCCTGGGGACACGAGGTTTCACAACCAGTGAGCCACCAACACTTGGCTTTTTTACAAGGAGAAATTTCAGTCTTTTGCTGCTGGAGCCAAAATCATATGGGGGCGGTGTGGAGCATTCCACCCTCCATAATTCAAGATTAAACTGACGCAATGGAGAAGTCCTTCTAGGACTCGGTAAACAAAGAACCAAGGCATACAGCATAGGTCAAGCATTTGAAAAACTTTCCTGGGTACCATCTCTACAGAAACAGGATTAGAGCATTAGCAAAATGCTGGACTTCCTCTAGCTTAGCAAGAAGATATCTGTGTTTTGGTTTTGGTGTTGGGAATGGACCCCAGAGCCTACTCAGAATAAGATAAAAATACTTTTAGCTCTTCCATGGAGTGAAAGCTATGCAAGATTTTTTTTTTTTTTTTTTGGTTTGGTTTTTTCGAGACAGGGTTTCTCTGGGGGAAACAAACAAACAAATAAACAACTCAATGGCTTTCACCGAATCAATTTTAATTATGATAAACATCGTGAGCAAAGTCAAAGATAAACAGTAAATTTATCGAGAGTCATACATTGTCAGAGAGTTCCCTCTGGGGAGGAAGAAGAGGTTGGGTAAGTCAGACTGTCCAGGGAGGAGAACACAGAAGAGGCTGGGAGCATGAGAGAGAGTGGGCCTTGGAGAAGTAAGTTATAATAAGGGCACATTGAGATCCATTTCTCAGTACTCTTGGGAGATGTCAAAGGGGTGGAGTCTGAATTGCACAATCTTTGGGCAAATATCTAGCAAATAGAAAATTCTAGGCTTTTGGTGCTGAGATTCCATGTTGGAGGAGCCCTGCTTCAGAAATCCAGTCATTTCAAGTCAACATCTGTTCCTAGTGAGAATGTTACACAGTATCCATTTGGAGGAGAAATTTTAATCCAGTCAACTATCTCTCATGATTCTCTCTGACTTTTGGGCTCATGCTTTCCAAATGTCCCCTGTCGGGACTCTGCAACAGCAGGCTCTTTTGTATCCACTGGAAATTTTATCATAAGTGTTTGGATGGCTTCTTGATAGTTAATAATTCTTTGCCTCAGGCAGGTGGTAAGTTAGCTTTTTTGGTATTTTAACTTGTTTTATCCAAGCCCAAAAGTGGTTTTAGAAATGCTAGCATGCTTTCTTTGGACCTCAGAGCAGTGAGGTTTGAGTAGTGCATCCCATGTAATCTCTGAGGAGGGGCCAGGAGTGGCTTTTGGTAGAGACTACATTCTTTTTTTTTGTTGTTGTTGTTTTTTGTTTTTTTTTGTTTTTTGTTTTTCGAGACAGGGTTTCTCTGTATAGTTCTGGCTGTCCTGGGACTCACTCTGTAGACCAGGCTGGCCTCGAACTCAGAAATCTGCCTTGCCTCTGCCTCCCAAGTGCTGGGCTTAAAGGCGTGCGCCACCACCGCCTGGCTGAGACTACATTTTTAATTAATTAGTTTGTATCTTTGAGACAGGCTCTCACCATGTACACCTGGCTAGCATTAAATTCACAGAGATCTACCTGTCTCTTTCTAGCCAGTGCTGGGATTAAAGGCTCATGCCACCGAATCTGGCCCAAGAATACATCACTAAAAGACCAGGCTCTCAGTCTCCAGCTTCCCCCCCTAAGCTCTTTCGTTTTATTTCCAGCATCAGTATGACAACCTGTTCCACATTGGCTGCCCTGGGAATGATGCCCCTCTGCCTCTACGTCTACACCAGGTCCTGGACTCTTACACAGAACCTCTCCATTCCGTATCAGAGCATAGGTCTGTATGGGGCTTGTGTAACTGAGCAGAAACAGTAGCAGTGATGGTACAGATAACAGATAATGACAAAGCTCTTTGTGTGGGGTTTTAGCACTACCTAAATCAATCCTTTTAGTTTCTATTTCTAGTTCTTTTACTTTCATGCTTCCAGATGTCAAGTAACTTGCTGAAGATCATGCAGTGTAGACCTGAAATTGGAGGACACCTTCTTCTTCTTCTTCTTCTTCTTCTTCTTCTTCTTCTTCTTCTTCTTCTTCTTCTTCTTCT